AATAAAAAGGTGTTGTGCCAGCTTCACAAAGTACAGATGCAAGCATGTGTTCACTTTAAAAAAAACTTTGCAAGCCCAGCTAGTTCCCACATAGACACAGTCAGTATTGTAGTTGTCATCCTTTCACCCAGGCTTTTGTCAAAGCTCAAGTGTACTATCCTTTTTAGTAACTTTACATTATCTAAGTCGTTTGCCACTATGGCGCTAAAGCAAACCTTGATATTTTATTGCAGCTCTTTCTTTTTTGGCCACGCTAATCTTCTTCGAGAATAAAAACAACCCACCTTTCACCTGATGCTTCTTATATGTGGCCTTTAGAAAAAAGGAGACTTTTTTTCCTGCAAAATTTGAGGTTATCTCAGCAAGATGTATTTGAGAAATAAGTATGTGCACAAATAACACAAAAGTTTAATGCTTTTAATATCCTATCTCAAATGACTTGCTCTAGAGTTGAGAAATTAAAAAAAAAAATTGTCCTAAAAGGAACCTACGGTCTTAAAGTATGTTTAGAAGGTTGGATAATTAAATTTAAATATTTGAAACTCTTGAGGATGCAGTAGAGTTTATAAACTCCTCAGACTCTCACTTTTCACAAAGTTTATAAACTTTGTAAATTTCATCCCTTCCCAGTCTGATTAGGTTCAAAGATGTTTGATTTTTCTAGTGCAGCCTCTGAAGGTTTATACAGGATAAGTCAAACTGCTCAGATTCAAATTCCAAGTTTTGCTAGTGAAGAATTTAATCTGAATTTGTGTACTTTATTGAATAACATGTGTGGTCTTTATAATTAAATCTAATTATCATAGGAGTAAAATATATTTACTATTCCTTCATCCGATGAAGTGAGCTGTAGCTCACAAAAGCTTATGCTCAAATAAATTGGTTAGTCTCTAAGGTGCCACTAGTCCTCCTTTTCTTTTTGCGAATACAGACTAACATGGCTGCTACCTATTCCACTAATGTTGATAAGTTTCACTTGCAGCAGGAAGCTGACTCTCAGATGGATACACATCTATCACATCAGTGGGATCAGCCCCCCTGCAGCAACCCACCTTCCACAGGACTTGCAGAAGACCCTTTTGGGCCTGCAGTAAATTATGGGTGGGGCAGAGAAACTGGAAATCAAGCCAATAGGAGAACAGGGAAGAAACAAGGAGTTCACTCCTCACAAAGAATGTCAAATCACTTCTGCCCCCTTCTATCTACATTGTCTTTCTTCATGTCTCCATGCTTATGAAAAGGGGAAATGTAATCATACTTGCGATATGGTTTGTGATATTGGACACTTGTCCTCCTTAACGTTTTTATATTAGTATAGATAAAAGGAAGCACACAAATAAAATTCGTCTTTTATTAAAAACCTGATCATAGGTGCGCCTTTTCTTTTAGTTTTCAGTCTACACCAATAGCAAAGGCAACTTTTAAATTTTATTACAGGAGTTTATTACAGGTACAGGAACCTACCATGATGCATTCAGGTAGAGGGTTATGGAGCCAAAAATTAGCGTTCCCACTCCAGCCAAAAGGGATCAGTGGAAGGCAGTTTTGATTTCCAGCTCAGAGCTGGTCAATAAGATATGGCATTAACTTAATCCAAAGGGCTCAGTTTGCCCATTCTCTCCAGATCCAAACCATGTCCCAGTACAGAGGGTGGAAGTATGAGCTTGTGATTAAAACACAGGATTAAGAGCAGCCAGAAATTCTGAATTCTGTATCCAAATTTTGCCAAAGACTTCCTGTGCAACCTTAGACCATTCATTTAGTCCCAAATTTTAAAAAGTGTCCATTAAACTGGGGTGCCCCACTTGATGCACCTATGGACTAGTTTTCAAAGGCACTGAGCATGCAGAACAACAGATGAAGCCAATGGGAGTGTCAAGTTGGACACTCAAAATTAGTAAACATTTTTTAAAATGTGGGCATTCACCTTTCTGTGCCTCAGTTTCCCCATCTATAAATAGGAGATCATATTTGCCTATTGTGTTTTGAGGATTAATTCACAGATGTTTTTAAATTGACTTGAGATCCTCGGTTGGAAGGTGCTATAGAACTCCAATGCATTTGTCTGAGAAAAATACAAAAGCAGGGAAGAAAGACCGTCATGAAAAGCCCAGGGCCAGCCTGGACCCTAAATTCCAACCCTTTGTCTGTGAGGGACATGGGCCAAGATCCACAAAGGAATTTAGGCATTGCAATGCTGAGCTGAACTTTTAGGTGCTTAGAAAAATCACAGGAACAGCACCATAATCCACAAAGCCTGAGTGAGGCATCTGGGCTCTCTGTACAATGAATGGGGATATATAAGTGCCTTAGACTGTGATCCACAAAGGCAGGGAGCTGCCTACACTAGCCTCTGGAGATGCCAACCAGAAAGGGGTGTGCTAAGCTGTGCCCCTCTCTTGGAGAAAGGTTTTCAAGTCCAGCTGCAGGGCAGTACCTAGCTCTGCTAGTGATCCACAATTTGGGGGAAGATAGGCATTCAGCTGCCTAAATGCAGGCCAGGCTCAAAGCAAATTAGCTGGGGTAGGACCTGCCTTACAACCTTTAGCTTACTGGATAGGTACTCACCCAGGATGTGGGAGGTCCCTGGTTTCAGTCCCCCCTCCACTTGAAGGGGAGAAGGGATTTGAATAAGGCTCGGCCATCTCTCCAGCAAGTGCTCTAACTACTAGGCTATAGTAGAGTCATTCTAAATCTTTTACCAATTAATAAATAATTATTCACTTGCTTAATTAAAGTGGAACAGCTTTGAGCGGAGAGACTGAGGGAGCCCCACATCAGAATATTTCATAGCCTAGTGTCTACTAGGCCACTGACCTGAAAGAGATGACAGATCCCTATTCAAATCCCTTCTGCCCCCTCTGGGGTGGGGAGAAACATCCTCGGTGTGTTCCTTAACCACTGAGCTAAAGGGTTATTAGGGAGGACTGCCTCTTTTTCCCCCAACTGCTTTGTGTGAACTCACCTGAGGGGCTGGATCTGACAGGTGTGATCAGAGGCCACCTACCAGATCAGGCACACAGCTTAGCCATCTGATTGCCTGTCTTTCTTGTAATCGTCTTGTTGACGTTCTTCTGTGAATCACTCTGAGAGACAGGCATCCAGATGCCTACAGTGCGGCCAAAGTGCGCATGCTCAGGCAGGAGATAGGCACCCGCTCACCTACAGTGAGGCTGCAGTGCACCATTCAGAGGAAAAAACATGGGCGCCGAGTGAATTTAGGCACCTACAGGATTAGGCAGCAGTGAGAGTTTTGTGGCTCATAGCGGTACCTAAAAAAGGGACATAGATTCCTGAATCTGTGGGCTAGGTGCCTGAGTACCTTTGTGGATCACATCCCTGGTGCCTAGGGAGAAAGAATACCATTGTAGAACTGATTAATATAACATTCATGTGGGATTGGGGAGGGGAGGGTTACCCAAAGGGCATCAGAGGTAGAAATAGAGTCCCCAAATACAGCAAATGGTGAACATGCTTGAAAAATTCCACTAGCCCACCACGGTACACATCTGATGAAGTGAGCTGTGGCTCACGAAAGCTCATGCTCAAATAAATTGGTTAGTCTCTAAGGTGCCACAAGTACTCCTTTTCTTTTTGCGAATACAGACTAACACGGCTGTTCCTCTGAAACCAGTGAATAACTTGTTTCAGAATAACAGCCGTGTTAGTCTGTATTCGCAAAAAGAAAAGGAGTACTTGTGGCACCTTAGAGACTAACTAATTTATTTGAGCATAAGCTTTCGTGAGCTACAGCTCACTTCATCGGATGCATATTGTGGAAAATACAGAAGATGTTTGTTTTTATACACACAAATCATGAAAAAATGGGTGTTTATCACTACAAAAGGTTTTCTCTCCCCCCACCCCACTCTCCTGCTGGTAATAGCTTATGTAAAGTGATCACTCTCCTTACAATGTGTATGATAATCAAGGTGGGCCATTTCCAGCACAAATCCTACCCCCCCGAAACAAACCCTAACTTCTTTCTGACTAGTGAATAAATCACCATTATCTTTTCATTACCATCAGTCAATGCAGAGCATGGCCAGAGAGCACAATTTGTGCATGGGTGGTACATTTTCATGACACTTTTGGAAGGCTGAACCAAATGGACGCTAAGGGTCTGTGTCTCTACTGCTGTGCACCTTGAACAGACATGTATACGTACAAGGTGAGTGTAACATGCTACTATTCTGATTTGGTAGTGTTTATACACACACTTTATACAGGTGTAAATAAGTATACAAGCTGCAAAACAGTTGAGAATCAGGCTACTAGCCAAAGGGCCCTTATGACTTGAATTAACATTATCTAAGTGACTTCATCAGAGTCCAAACTTTTATCAAAACTCCTCCAGGTATGAAAACCTTAGTTCAGACCCTTGTCAAAGAAAAAGCATGTTCTCCTTTCAGCGTTTTGTTTCATCACCACATCACAAGTGGTGTGGTGTGCTCCCTGATATAATTTTAGAGGCCACGTTCTGCAACCTGATATTTATTGTGGACCTCTCTGCTTCACAGCTGTTTTTTTACATCCCAACAGTTCCTTGCCAGTGAAGGATGATCCCATCTTGTTAACCCCAAGTTTACCCATACAGCTTGCTATTTATTGCTTTATGGGCTTGTCCTCCAATAATTATTCATTTCTGGAAAGCAGAGATTGTATCTAAATTATAAATTAGATATAAATTGTATCTAAATTAAATTATATCTAAATAAATTAATCTCCCATGGTTCAAATGTTCCCTGCACTGTTTCCATATGTGTCTTTGTACCATGAACATACATACCCTCTAGCCCTATGAAAATAGCAATCATCCCTCTTTCTTTTCTCTCAAAAGATCAACCTTGTTCCACTCTTTCTCCAAAAAATGCTCTATGTATTGGAATAGTGAGCCCTATTTTTTCCCATCAAACTGATGAGACGTGAGTTGAGTGGGGTAAGCTCAGTCATGTGACCTAGACTCACTAGGGGCTGCCACCCCCATTGCAGTCACTTACCGTAGTCCATCAGGGAGGTACACGTCCACTCGAGCTCACCAGGGAACATTGTACAGCTTTCCCATAACGAGGCTTGATGCTGATAGGGCTCCGTCTCCGACTCCAGCCAGCCCCTGCCAGCCAGCGCAATAAGGCCAAAGATGACCGCTATGCCTAACATCAGAGGCAAGATCCATCTGCACCTTGTGTAGTCAAGGCCATACTGCACCATCTTGTGGAATGGTCAGTGGCTTCTCTAGAGGCCAGGTGCACAAACTGATGAGCTTTTTCTGCTACTAACTCAGCAGTGTGGGACAAAAGTGTTTTATGAAGGCTCCTGAAGAGTGTGTGTATATGTATGAATACGTGAGTGAGAGCAGCTTTTGAATCAGAACAGACACCAAAGGAGGGAGCTCCACCTAAATTCCAATGACTAAGAGCTGTAGTGGTGGCACCAGAAACCTGTTTGAGCTGCACAGAAGTTGCAGGGCTAGGCTGTCTCATCTGCTTGGCTCCTCTTTCCTCTCTGCTGATTCCCGTAAACACCCCAGGCACCATTACACTCCCTGGCCCTGGGCTTTTAACCCTTTCCTGGCTGTCGCTCCCCATTAAGGAGCAACTTGGATTAAACAAGGGGCTTTTGCACGAGAGTGGGTGCAGATGCCACAATTACACTAAAAGCTAAAAACCAATTTGCATTGTAAGCTCTTTTGTCAGATGCGCAAAGTTGTCTGAAACTTTCCCCTTTAAGGCTAAAATGTCCCATGCTGGGCCTCTACTCCAAGGGGAAATCTTTTGAGCATGTTTCCTCAGCCATTACAAAGTTAGGAGAGTGAAGAAAATTTCTGACTCTTTCTTGAAAGAGCTATGGCAAAAATCAACAGCTGAAATTTGACAGTTACAATAGGGCAGGGCTTGGAAGCATTGAGGAGCAGAGCACGTTTTTATGGGGAGAAAATAGGTTTGATTTGACTATGCTCTACGAATATTCTCAGCAGGCACAGTACAATAATTGCGGCTAATTCTCCACTGCCCGAGTGTAAAATGCTACTAAAACAGATTACTCCATTTGCACTAGTTTGATAGCCTTTGCTTCCACTTTGCACGGAAGTAAGATTATACAATGCAGTGGAGAATTGGGCTCCTCTGGGATTGGGAACTGTGCCTTTAACTGCTGACCATCCCAGAGAAAGAGCCTGGGCAGGGTGCTGTGAAGCTGATGTTGTGTTATGCACCAGTTGGAATGGACACAGAATATTTTCTGCAAGCACCTTAAGCACTGAGTGATCACTGAACACCATACAGCCTCCAGTAAGGTATACATATGCATAGCTAGATGCCATAACTCAGTAGTTCTCAACCAGGGGTACCTGTACCCCTGCAGGTTCTCAGAGGTATTCCAGGGCGTACATCAACTCATCTAGATATTTGCCTAGTTTTACACAGGCTACATAAATAGCACTAGCAAAGTCAGTACAAACTAACATTTCATACAGACAATAACTTTTTTATACTGCTGTGTATACTGTACACTGAAATGTAAGTGCAATATTTATATTCCAGTTGATTTATTTTATAATTATATGGTAAAAATGAGAAAGGAAGCAATTTTTCAGTAATGTGCTGTGACACATTTGCATTTTTATGTCAGATTCTGTAAGCAAGCAGTTTTTAAGTGAGGTGAAACTTGGGGTACACAAGACAAATCAGACTTCTGAAAGGGGTACAGTAGTCTGTAAAGGTTGAGAGCCACTCCCATAATTGATGCATATTGAAATGGCTCCACAGTGGCCTCCCAGTTTAAGCCAGAGAAACCTTTTGAGCAATTGATCAACTAGTAAAAGGGCTCCACCTACTTCTGACCTCCACACCCCATCAAAATATTCCTCTGACTGAGAGAAGTGGGCAGGTGGCTGGGAGGTCAGCAATCCTAAGTTCTGTTCCAACCCTTTCCACTGCCAATACCTGCAGCTTCACCGGTGACAATTTCTGCAGCATGGTTATGTATTATCAGTACAAAAACCTGCAGGGATGGCACAAACTACACTGAATTTAATATAAAAATAAATATGACAGGACAACTGTACTAATTGTATTATTTAATTTGTATTGATTAAACTCTTCAACTTTTTCATTTAAATGGAATGGTCACAAAAATTCTAGTCTGCTGCAGAGCCCAGGGACCTTGCTGTAGATGTTAGAGCTGGTATTTTGCAGAGTGCACAGGGCAGGTCTATGAGGAAGGTAGATATTGTTAGCCCTGTGACAGATTAGGAATATGTGTGTGTCAGATTGTGAACTCCACCTTGTATTTGTGCACCCTATTTCAGGGGCTGCACTTTATACTGTAATCTTCATGTTGGAGTGTGACCTCATAATGTATTGCAACCTTCATTGTAGATTAGAGCAGTGCTAATAAGCGATGGTCACATAAACACCACCCTATACCGGAAACATACTGACCGCTATGCTTCCAGCTTTCATCCAGACCACACCACACAATCCATTGTCTACAGCCAAGCTCTACGATACAACCGCATTTGCTCCAACCCCTCAGACAGAGACAAACACCTACAAGATCTCTATCAAGCACTCTTACAACTACAGGTTTCAGAGTAACAGCCGTGTTAGTCTGTATTCGCAAAAAGAAAAGGAGTACTTGTAGCACCTTAGAGACTAACCAATTTATTTGAGCATGAGCTTTCGTGAGCTACAGCTCACTTCATCAGATGTATACCGTGGAAACTGCAGCAGACTTTATATACACACAGAGATCATGAAACAATACCTCCTCCCACCCCACTGTCCTGCTGGTAATAGCTTATCTAAAGTGATCATCAGGTGGGCCATTTCCAGCACAAATCCAGGTTTTCTCACCCTCCACCCCCCCACACACAAATTCACTCTCCTGCTGGTGCTAGCCCATCCAAAGTGACAACTCTTTACATAATCAAGTCGGGCTATTTCCTGCATAAATCCAGGTTTTCTCACATCCCCCCCACCCCCATACACACACAAACTCACTCTCCTGCTGGTAATAGCTCATCTAAACTGACCACTCTCCAAGTTTAAATCCAAGTTAAACCAGAACATCTGGGGGGAGGGGGGGTAGGAAAAAACAAGAGGAAACAGGCTACCTTGCATAATGACTTAGCCACTCCCAGTCTCTATTTAAGCCTAAATTAATAGTATCCAATTTGCAAATGAATTCCAATTCAGCAGTTTCTCGCTGGAGTCTGGATTTGAAGTTTTTTTGTTTTAAGATAGCGACCTTCATGTCTGTGATTGTGTGACCAGAGAGATTGAAGTGTTCTCTGACTGGTTTATGAATGTTATAATTCTTGACATCTGATTTGTGTCCATTTATTCTTTTACGTAGAGACTGTCCAGTTTGACCAATGTACATGGCAGAGGGGCATTGCTGGCACATGATGGCATATATCACATTGGTGGATGTGCAGGTGAACGAGCCTCTGATAGTGTGGCTGATGTTATTAGGCCCTGTGATGGTGTCCCCTGAATAGATATGTGGGCACAATTGGCAACGGGCTTTGTTGCAAGGATAAGTTCCTGGGTTAGTGGTTCTGTTGTGTGGTATGTGGTTGTTGGTGAGTATTTGCTTCAGGTTGCGGGGCTGTCTGTAGGCAAGGACTGGCCTGTCTCCCAAGACTTGTGAGAGTGTTGGGTCATCCTTTAGGATAGGTTGTAGATCCTTAATAATGCGTTGGAGGGGTTTTAGTTGGGGGCTGAAGGTGACCGCTAGTGGCGTTCTGTTATTTTCTTTGTTAGGCCTGTCCTGTAGTAGGTAACTTCTGGGAACTCTTCTGGCTCTATCAATCTGTTTCTTTACTTCTGCAGGTGCGTATTGTAGTTGTAAGAAAGCTTGACAGAGATCTTGTAGGTGTTTGTCTCTGTCTGAGGGGTTGGAGCAAATGCGGTTGTATCGCACCCACCTGCTGAAGTGAAGAAACAGATTGACAGAGCCAGAAGAGTACCCAGAAGTCACCTACTACAGGACAGGCCCAACAAAGAAAATAACAGAACGCCACTAGCCATCATCTTCAGCCCCCAACTAAAACCTCTCCAACGCATCATCAAGGATCTACAACCTATCCTGAAGGATGACCCATCACTCTCACAGATCTTGGGAGACAAGCCAGTCCTTGCTTACAGACAGCCCCCCAACCTGAAGCAAATACTCACCAGCAACCACACACCACACAACAGAACCACTAACCCAGGAACCTATCCTTGCAACAAAGCCCGTTGCCAACTCTGTCCACATATCTATTTAGGGGACACCATCATAGGGCCTAATCATATCAGCCACACTATCAGAGGCTCATTCACCTGCACATCTACCAATGTGATATATGCCATCATGTGCCAGCAATGCCCCTCTGCCATGTACATTGGCCAAACTGGACAGTCTCTATGTAAAAGAATAAATGTACACAAATCAGACGTCAAGAATTATAACGTTCAAAAACCAGTTGGAGAACACTTCAATCTCTTTGGTCACTTGATTACAGACCTAAAAGAGGCAATTCTGCAACAAAAAAACTTCAGAAACAGACTCCAATGAGAGACTGCTGAATTGGAATTAATTTGCATTAAATTAGGCTTGAATAAAGACTGGGAGTGGATGGGTCATTACACAAAGTAAAACTATTTCCCCATGTTTATTCCCCACCCCCCACCCCGCTGTTCCTCAGACGTTCCTGTCAACTGTTGGAAATGGCCCACCTTGATTATCACTACAAAAGGGTTTTTTTTTCCTCTCTCTCTCCTGCTGGTAATAGCTCACCTTACCTGATCACTCTCGTTACAGTGTGTATGGTAACACCCATCGTTTCATGTTCTCTGTGTATATAAATCTCCCCACTGTATTTTCCACTGAATGCATCCGATGAAGTGAGCTGTAGCTCACGAAAGCTTATGCTCAAATAAATTTGTTAGTCTCTAAGGTGCCACAAGTACTCCTTTTCATTTTGTACTGTGGGCTTGACACCTAATTGAATGATTGGGGCTGTGAAGCTGTGACAGAGCCATCAAGGGCCATCAGTAATGAATGTCTTTTTCCTACTGACAGGTTTCAGAGTAGAAGCCGTGTTAGCCTTTGTCCGCAAAAAGAGCAGGAGTCCTTGTTGCACCTTAGAGACTAACAAATGTATCTGAACATAAGCTTTCGTGGGCTACAGCCCACTTCATCGGATGCATGGACTTTTCTAC